AATTCTAAATGTTTCGATACGATACAACGGTTACAGCCCTATAGACCGAAGGTCCGACAGACCGAAGGCCCTATAGACCGAAGGTCCGATAGACCGAAGGCCCTATAGACCGAAGGTCCGATAGACCGATCATATTTAATACCATATATAATAATACCTCAGAAATAATTCACCCACACTACTTACAACCGATTTTGTTTCCTACGTACCCCAAACGCCTGACTTGTGTACATGCAGCGACTACGTAAAACTGATATACGAATAAGAAAAAAAAATGCTTCATCGCTACGTAAAATAAATTCTAAATGTTTCGATACGATACAACACGTTTACATACGAGCCGCTCGTTTGTCGCATAGTGACACGTAAACATATATAAACTAAAAGGTCACGCATCGCGGGCGATTCAATTGAACGCTCTGATGAAAACACGCATCATTTCATTCGGCGCCACGCTCTCAATTTAATCCACGACAGCGTTTCACATTCCCGCACATCGGCCGCACGACGACAGAAAGTCTACAGCAATGACGAAATTGCAGACTAGCGTCTCCGTCCACGTAGCTTCCATGCGCCTCCTATGGGACGTAATAGCCCAAGCTAGTTTTCCTAAGCCTACAAAGAATGCGATGAATGATGATGCGTGCGTGCGTGCGTGTGTGTATGTGTGTGTGTGTGTGTGTGTGTGTGTGTGTGTGCGTGCGTGCGTGCGTGTGTGCGTGCGTGTATGTGTGTGTGTGCGTGCGTGCGTGCGTGTGTGTGTATGTGTGTGTGTGTAGGAGGGACGCCAGCGCTGCAGGATAACATAACATTAGTTCCGGATTTGCAGCGATCACCTGCTAGACATCTTGCGATGGCGTGTGAGCGGGTTAGAATCTGCACCGCCGAGTGGCGCTGTTGTCGTCGTATTCGTGAGATGCGATAAGATATATGTATTGGAAGCTTACCGAAAGAATGATGTTATCACAAAACAGCGATACAGTGACGGGAATCGGAAGAGAGAGAGAGAGAGAGAGAGAAAGAGAGAGAGAGAGAGAGAGAGAGAGAGAGAGAGAGAGAGAGAGAGAGAGGAGAGGCAAATGAGGAAGAAAGAGAGGGTAGAGCAAGTACGCACGCGCGTCTGTGTGTGTGGGCGGATGCGTGTCTGTTTTTTATACATAGTTATATTATACCTATTTTCTCTTGCTTAAGCGACGATGGAGTGTTACTATTGCGACAGCGAGGTGAGTAAAGGATGCGCCGATCCGTTCAACTTCAGCTACGTGGGGCGTTCTATCAGGAAGGACGTCTGTGAGAAGGGATGCTGTATCAAGTGGGTGGAGAACGAGGGCACAGGTATGCTAGGTGTGCTGTGGCGAGTTTCACTGTAGAACGAGTCGCTGAGAGCATTGCACTCCCCCCACTCTCGTTATCTCTCTATCCATCTCTCTCCCTCTCTCGATGACGCTATGATAGGCATATACAGATTATATCAAGAGCTAATAATACCTTAGGTATTATTAGCTCTTGATTATATATATACATATATATGTATATATATATATATAAATATATATATATATATATATAGATAATTCGTATAAAATTATTGTTTATATACATGTGTATGTGCACATATGTGTGTGCGCGTGTGCGCCTGCGTGGGTGTTTGTACACGTGCGTATGTCCGTCTGTCTGCAAATATAATACGAGTCGTAGGTAAAGTGTGGTTTCAATGTTTTTACAGACAGACAGAAGATCACTAGGTCGTGTACGTCGAGTCCCTATATGCACTTTAACATGCAGATTGCTCCTACCTGCATGATGGATTCATCAAAGAGCGGCTTCGTGTGTCTCTGCAGCAATAAGCTGTGCAACTCCGCTCACGGTCGGCTACAAGATTGGCATTCATCTGTCGTACTCAGTATTGTCGTAGCGCTCATTGTGGGAACACTGGGGGCAACATAACAGACATCATCAGGCCGCGATGATAGGCAGAAAGACGAAAGCGAGTAAAAGGTTACACACCGAGTAACAGTCTGTCACGGCAGAGTCGGTTAAGTGAAGGGACGGCCGTTCCGTTGCTCATTCTGGTTTTGCCTGCTTACTGGCGAGTAAATACACGCGTTAATAGTGTCCGAGGAAAAATTGAAAAAAATTGTTATATGATCATTTTCGACGACATTCGTCCGGGAACGTTTAACAATTGCCGATTTGCCACTGAATGAAACCTTGCTTCGTTGAACTAGCGATGTGCCGTTCAGCCATTTTTTCATCGCCAAGGATCCGTTGCTGTATTCATGCTTTGTTCTCTTGGTAATGTTTTGGGTCGCAGTTTGTGACTTTGAGGATGCAATCTGTTCAGTCGAACGGGTTGAAAAAAGCGCACAAGTACGATGACAGTTTCACTCAACGTTCGGCTAGATGGTTGATTTGTTTTGTTACATGGCGCAAAGTGGATGCGAGCCCGACATTTTCACATGTTATAATTACACGGTCATTGAGGTACTCGTCTGACTGGAATCTTTTACGTAGATATTTTTGCTAGATCGGGCAAACTAGAGCGGTTCACGTGTGTTTTTTTCACGCGGGCGCAAAATCTTTAACCGTGTGACATTTCGTTGCTAAGCAATGTTTTTATAATGCCCCTATCGCCACGCCGGTTGGATATTGCCGCCTGTTATTCATGTCGCCAGACAGATAGGGCAATCTACAATGGCAACTTGAGTATTGGTACTGAATTTCGTTCACTGACTGGTGTACCAGATGAAATAAGCATCGAGCGGTGTACCTTTTAATCACTTTCGTCGGTTTCAGACTCATCGTAGGTGAACCATGCATTATTAGTTAGTTATAGGTGCTGACGACAGCATTAACTAATGTTAAATGCCTATGAATAAAACGCAAGAGTTAAGATGCATGCTAATGCTGACAAATTCTCTTTAGTTGTATCGGATATAGGACCGAACCACCAGCAAAAACAAATATCGAACAGGTTTATACGCACAGCCTTGCCGAGGAAAAAATTAAATAGAAAATTAAACAAATCCTTGAGAAGCAATTGTACCATTTACGTTCATAAGGTTACTGCTATCAGCAATTACACATTCACGGCTAAACAGGTGGTCCGTTATCCTAAATTGTTATTGTAGTTTACGGGCACTGAATAGCATGTAAGAATATTGCGTAATAGACATATGACCGCATATATATCAGCAATATCAGTTGTATTGCGTAGAGTTAAAACTTTGCTAACATTATAGAGCGCCTGCCAAAAAATGTATTAAAACTGTAAATTAGGTAAACAATTTTGTTCTGAAAGAAATCTTCTCGTCGTCATCGTATTCGTAAGTTGTTTATTACTCATTTGTTACTTGCACTCATACTGCAAACACTATACTATCCTTATATGGACGTATGGCCGGCTGTGGGATGTCGTATCTCGTAGATTACATATTTATTACAGTGCATGCCAAAATGATTAAGTTTGAGAGTAAAAATTATTTGCATATCGTCCTTGCATGGTCGTTACTACGATCCATGACTATGAACTTCCCTGTTTCTGTTCCGTCGTCATTGACCGACATCGTAGAAAAATGTTGATGGTGAAATATATGCTATTATGCTTTTAACGCTAACGTTGAAACATTTCATTAAATGTATTATGGGCATCAACGATATTTGTAAACCAAATTTCGTTTACATCGTTTCTTTCGTTTCTCTCTCTATATATCCCGTAGTTTCCCAGTGAGCACGTCACGGATAGAAAGCCCTTAGAAGTAGGCCAATTAGCGATTCCCACGCGCGCGCGCCAAATGATGAAACTCGTTGACAAGCATTGTTTTTAAAATGTCCTCTTACTACAATGATTGGCTAGTGCCTGTCGATCTCGCCAATCGGATGGGTCAATTCACAAATACAGCATTTAGTCGCGCCAACACACGTGCCCACAAGTCATGATCATAGATCAATTCCCGATCACACGTACTCTAGTTGTTTACATCATTCTGGACAAAAAGAAGAGATTTTTTTCAATTTTAACGATTATTTCGATAATGCTGTACTAATAATCTGTTAATTACAGTTCACATATACATAGTTGTTGAAGACATACACAACGAATCGGCGCATCTCTCAAATGCATTAATTCATGAGTTATTTTATCTGTATAGGGCATATAAAGAGTAATTTGTAACCGTTTTGTTACGAAAATTGCTCGCATCATTTTTAGCTCATGTGTCTTTCTTTGATAGAAAATTTCCTAAGCTAAAGCGTCATATATATGTATGTGTTCATGATATGTTTCTCATATATTATATATGGTATATATAAAAAGACGTTCAAATATAGACGAAGCTGGCTCTATAGAGGAAGTCTGTCGTAAATATTACACACCGTTTCACGGGGAGCGGCTATACTTGATAGCTTTAGACTAGAAAAACTCAACGCACGTCATCAATATTTCAGTTGACTATATATGTGCCAACCCTAACGTGTAATTGACAATTTCCACCACTACTTTGTTCGCTCTGCATGTACCTTGCCCTCAGTAAAGAACACGACGCAACATCTTTACGATGCGCGTAGGCCGATGCGTGTTACTAGGTCGTGAAATGTGGTCAATCCTACCGGAATGTCTTGGTCCCTTGGAAGTACACCGCAGTGACGGCGTTGGTTTAGTTAACGGGATCGGAATGCAAAATAACCAGAATGATATAATGAGGTGTCGGAAGCGGATCGTAATAGGGTGTAAGGATATATGGCCTTCCATACGACAGGATATTGTATAAGGCTGAGAGTAAGAGCCGGCGTTAGGGCAAAGCGAACACAGTGGCCTCTTGCGGTTTCGTGCTTTAGGATCCTCGCTCAAAATACAAACGTAAATTGATTCCCGTAACCTAAGATTCAATAAAAGTACTGAATACTTTCATCTAGAGACAATTACACAGCAACATGATATTAATGGTATGGCAGTACTCGTGCAACTCTCTCGTATTTATTCGTCACAGTTACATTTCTGGGTATTTTTCGTGCGTATCGGGCAGTTTACAATGATAAAATTGTCATGTAGTCATTATCAAGTCATGTAATAATTTTCACGTCGCATAGTATCTGCTTGGAAAATCGCAGGCATTTTTGTTACTTTAGTATGGAATAAAAATTATGTTTGAAAGAGGAAATCAATTTGACCACTTGTATCACATAGATCTTTCAAGTATTTAAAAGTCCCCGCTCACTTGCGCGTATAGGTACTCTAGATTTTAAATGTCAGGATTCGGTTTTCTGCATCTAGACCTCATACCAAAAGAGTGAAACAACGTCATAATAATATTGTGCTTCTGTCTATTTTAGATATGAAATAGTGCAGAGCGGTTACTAGCGAAGAACGAGAAATGCAATCTTGTCTTGGTTTCGATGCAATCATCAATTCATTGATTTTATTTATTAACTTATTTATTTTACATAATACTCAATCTCACGCTCAGTTGACAATTGTAACTCGCAAATTGCAATACTAAACACACTGTAGTCTGAGCAAATTCCTTACAGGGGTGGGGGAATTTTGTGACTCGCGGCTGAGTGTGGCGGAGATGGGTTCGAGACGAGGGTTTCAAGGATGACTGCACGATGATTTACGCTTATTATTACACTGTGCACATACATTTATTCAAGTTTCGCGTTATTTTTCTGCATTCCATCAATCTATCTAGTGGAGAGCTGCCTCTGTCCCCAGAGGCCAGGGGCCCGTTGCCAGAAACTTCGTAAAGTTAAGGTTAATTTTAAGACTAATGTTAATGTTAAGACTAATTTTTTTCTGGCAACGGGCCCCAGGACACTGACAATTATTACCACGAGCGTGCAGCGAGATGATAATTATACCAACAAAAACTCACGGCTTGACGTTATACAGAATGATGTTGTTTCCACGATAGTTCTTAAAATTTAATACAATAATAAATTTATTACGATAGCTGGTTACAATTCCTAAACTTGTAATCTTTTCTTCCAACTTGTTATGTAATGTGATAAACCTGTTGGCTCTCTCCATCTATCTATCTACCGTAAATTTAGATTTTACAGTGGACACTACGTTGGTAATCAGTCGGTTTTTCGATACAGTCCGGCTTTTTCCAATTCCCTTCAGATTATTAAATAACCCCAGCAAGCTTATCAGAGCATGGGCCGATCCAGGAAACAGCCAACCGATGGAGAAGGGGTACCCACCGGCGAAGAGGGCATGGGGGACTGTACCTATAATCTTCCCCAGAGGGATCCAACCGCGCATTTTAGAGCTTCCGGCGTCGATTTCTGGCCTCTATAGTGAGTCAGAAGTGCTCATGCATGACTTCGCGTTTTTTACTCGTTTTCTAGCATTGATTCTTTGACGGGAGGGTGGAGGGAGCCTGGCCCTATAATGTCGCCCGATCCTTTATCAATGAATATTTTACAATTAAACGAACTCCGTCATACGTTACTGCTGCTGCTACCACCTTGATGTTTCTACATGCTTTCGAAAAATAACTACTGTAACACCGTGTAATGTAATGTAATGCCTTGTCAAATCTACAAATCGGATCCTGTTTTTAAATAACGGGGTCTAATTATATACTAACTATATAATAATTATATATTATAATATATGTAATAACTATTTAAGTCCGGACTTAATTAGTACATTCCCACAGCGTGTACGCGGCATCTCTGACTGCGCTAGTCCGGACAAGGATCGAGGTAAGGTCGCGATATCTCGGGCACTGTCCTCCGCACTGTGCAGATTTATTTACCGATCGCCCTTGGGTTACTGTTCGAGGTCACCGCTGCTATTGTCGGCTACGAGGTTTCGCAATGTGTTTTCGGGCTTCTCTCTCGGGGCCTACGTGATTTAATCACCGGAGCTCGCGCTCATTTTCGTGTAACCGGTGCGTTTCCGGGTATGCAGAGTTTTCTAATAGTTAACTACATAACAGGTTTGTTCACCACCGAGTGTATTCTCCTCGAAACAAAGTCTCACCATACAGCTTGCTGCCAGACACACATATACATATATATATATATATATATATATATATATACATATATATAGCTTGCATTTTTTGCGTGCCAAACATCTTTATCGGTCTTCGTTGTTTCCACTGTCGTCTTCACTTGTAGCTATGTGTGGTTATACGCATGCTGCACGATGCTGGCATGCCTCCATAAGTAGCACCAACAGACTGTATCCATTATCAATATCACAAGCATCAGCATCAACAACATCATCATCATCGTCGTCATCATCATTATCATCATCATCATCACCATCATAACCGTCGTCATCATCTTCATCACCATCTATGGGAGCAGTATGAGCATTGAGGTAGATTGTGACGACGGATTATAAACCCATCTACGGGAACGGGATCGATATCTATCGATCTATCAGTTCAGCCATTTACCCATTCATCCGTCAGTCGGTTATTTCTGCAACTATATCTAACCATATTATTTATTTATTTACTTATTTATTCATTTATTTATTAAAGGCATCATGCCAATTGAATCCCAGCTTAATATCGACGTAGAGCAATATTTATTGATTTTCCATCGCTTTCTCGATCACTCTCTCTCTCTCGTCCTTCTTTCTCATCCTGTCTGTCATATTGGCACGCACGCAAACACTGCCACACCGTGACACCGGCGCAATAGAGAACTGCTAACTACTAGACAACTATAGCAGTCTAGTAGTCTGAACAACTCACGGGATTACGAAAAGTTATACCTCCAGACTATATACTCGGAAGTTTGGTTAGTATAGTTTCGCACTACCGACAAAGAGATGACGTTTGAAAGGTTAGATTCATTCCGCTGCTCGTAACAGCATTTCCCGCCAAACTGCCGCCTCTCTAGACCTAATTCCGGTTCAGACTAAATCCCACGTCAGTCTAATCGTATTTTGTGAAAACCCCGAACACGTTCCGACCGCAGTTACAGACAGAATTGCAAGTTTTCTTGTGTGGCATTGATCAGTTAATCTGCAGGGTGCGCGGGAAGGCAGGATTTATAGGGTAATAGCAGCAGGTTCAATCGCACTATCTAATGCGCTTTAAATTACGAAGAGTGGCTGGCATGCCGGGTCAACTGCTTGGTATTCATCTGACTCTGTTAGTTACATGTTAGGAATAAATCCCTTAACTCTCTGATGTTGGGCTGCACACACACGACTGCTCTCATTCTATCGCCCTCTATCTCCTCTCTCGCTCTGTCTCTGTATGTCTCTCCCTTTCGTACACACTCTCTAACTCCCTGTATAACACACACACACACACACATACACGCGCGCGCGCGCGCGCACATACACACACACATACGCACACAGACACGAACGCGCAAAGCACGCACATACGCGCGTATGTGCACGCACACGTACACAACACAGCAAGTGAGGTTTCATAGCCCATGAAAATGTGGTACACATTCAAACATAAACAATAAAAAATACTTTACAAAATTAATATGTATTTCGTTTGGAAATGCCACAAGACAAATCGTTTAGAGCTACACAAAAGAACGTACCTCTAATGGCATTCCACATAAATTCATAATCGTAAGACGTGGTGACATTTTCAAAATCATATCAAAACGATTTCGTATTTTAGATGTGGCCAAACAGCCAAAGCACGGTTGATTTAGATTATAGCTGAAGATTCGGCAACAGCAATACACTGAGCACGTCCCATTACCTACCTCCACTAACTCTGCAAGTGTTTACCCTGGTAGAATTAACTATAGGACATGTAAGATTTGAACTGATTTTTCATCTGACATTGATATCAAGCATAATTAAAGATGAATCACAGAACAGCAACAGTTTTCGTCCTGATCTATTTATTCTGTCTTTGCATCGTTTTCATACGGGAATGCACTTCTTGCTCATGATCACACCATACCTGGCACATGACTAGCTGTAACGCTACTGCAGCCCACTGTCAGAAACACGCCATAAGACCTCTGACGTCACGAGTCGAGCACGTCGTAACCTTTGCAGTGAAGCGCCGTGTAAAAGTTACGATTCACGACAGTCAAAGTAATTTACGACGTCTCAGACGAGTTCCTTGGTTGATGCGCGGAGTTAACATCGGGGGAGAATTGGATGCGGATGTTGTTGTGTGTCGCATACACCACGCCTATATCAACTCATGTTGCCCAATGCTGCCGAGTTCAGCTCTGCCTCGCTGATGCCAAGATACTTGTTTGTCAGAAAGTCGAAGCTGGGTTCTGTGTCGAGAGCCCTGAACAGGTCAGCACACGTCACTTCTCTCGCATGCCTGCAATCAATGAAACATCTCCTCTTAAACGTATTGCTTTTAAATAATAATAATAATAATAATAATAATAATAATAATAATAATAATAACAACAATAATCAATAAGCCAATAAGCACAAATTCAGCTACAGTGTCGTGGTTGGCCATTACATGCTGTCAATAGCCACACAGATAGCCAGCCACTCGTGGTACAACTGGTCTACTTCAACATACGAATCTCACAACTTTTATCACCCAAGAAGGCTTGGGTGAAGTTAAATTAAGAAAAATTAAATAATTGCGTTTCATAATGGCAAGCGAGAAGGGGCGACGACGCTACTTGATCTCGGTGAAATTCGGAGCAGCGCTGACGTATCGCACTCACCGTAGACCGGGCACGCTCTTACACGTCGCAGCAGCAGCCTTCCTGAGGAGGTTGTCGGCAAACTGCTGCGCGCACGAACGCATCATCTCAGCTACTGCCGGCGACGCCACCCCAGGCTCCAATTCTACGGCTCTCAACTTGACGCCAATCTGCAAGCAATTTAGTCCTACCGAATAAGTTTTGTGCCGAAGTAGTTACATATGATGAATAACGTATGATTAAAATTACATCATAAGTTAAGTAATGTATCTGAGTACTTTTTCGACCAAGTAATTAAACGTGATGACGATATATGTAATTAAAAAAGTTTAAATAAATGTAGCTAGTGTGTAATTGCCTTATTTGATGCTACTTTAAGGACAGTAATTTCTAATTCAATCTATTGCGTGCTTTTGTATAATTTTAACATCTAAATCATTTACAAACGTCTGTTACCAATGAACGTAGCAGTTGAGAAAAACACCAAGTTAAATTTAGAACAGAATGAAATTATAGTGCAGAAATGAATTTAGATAAAAGAAAGGGTAGATAGGAAGGAAGTGTTCAAATACCTTTGATTCTAATTTAGTGCCTTATTTTACTTCACTTCAATTCAGCTACATGGATACATGGAATTGCATTACATGATATCAAGAGTACATCTCTATTATGTAGAGATGTACTTCTCTATTATGAGAGTAAATCTCTATTATGTACTCTTGATGATATCCTACAACTTTAACATTATATTTACTTCTATAGCAAATGGGAAAATTGACAGTGAGTAGGTACATACACCGCTAACTGTGCAATGCAGTCGTTCTGTTCCGCTACTATAGTACGTTTGCACAAATAATTTCTACGTTACATTATACGTGATTGGAAGCCATGTTTTCTGTGTCGTTTATTTACTTAACGTCAAAACCATATGGCCAGACTCTCATTACGGCATTTGCCACATTACGCAGCCTATGCAATCTCCATCAACTAGTTCACAGAAAATGACCAGCCAGCGCAATATGCACTACACGCAGTCGTACAGTCGCTACATTATAACGAGAGCAGACCGAGACGGAAGAAGTCATGGGGCAGAAGTAAGATGTCAGAGTTAATGAATCGATGTTAAATGTTGTGCCTGATACGCAGTCCACTGACATGCGGGGCGACACATTGCTCACAGTTGACAGAGGTTCATCGTCCAGCAGTTCATTCTTGGGCAACTGGTGACGAGCGTTTAGGGGAATTTTACTCGCCCCACAGCATTTTTGATTGCCTCTGGCGACCGGGGCACCGGTCATTTCTAACACCGAGGTCCTACCTATCTACATCACCAAATGGTTCAACAGATCACATTGTGGAGTTGGGCAATCGTCCTGACTATGCCACATTATTAAAGTATTCAGAGTAAACAGATAACTAGAGGAATGAACTGTTGTGCCGAGATATAGAAAATCCCCCTAAACTCTATTCAGAAAACCTTATCCAAATCACAGTCTAGCCTGGTGCAATAGATCGGGGCATTCTCAAAATGTTGCTTAATAACAAAGTGCTACTACAATCGAAAATTTGGCACACAAGTCTGAAAAACACGTATAAACTGGGCTAGCGTGACCGACCTAGAAACAATATCCAAGGGGGCATGGTTCAATCTCGCTCAGACAGATAGATACAATACTACACTAGTACTATATACCACCACTAATACTAGCTACAACCGCTTTTAATCAATACCAGATGCCTTGTCAGTACACTTAGCTACACTTAACTTGACAAATAAATTCAATAAAAAACATGAAACTACCTTCTCGCATTGTTCCGTGATGTATTCGGCGCAGGGAGACGGAGCCACCTGTTCCAACTGCTGCGCGGCCGTCGGCTTGGCTTCTAACGGTGTAATCGCAGTTTTGCCTGGGGACAGGCCGACAATATCTATTATCACATCCACGCTATCGTCAGCTCTCTGCAAGGCAAGTACAGACAAACCTGTGTAAGCGGATAACTACATCAGGGCGTCAAGTGACAAGTGACGCTCAAAAAATAGGAAAACAGGAATTTCAGATGTGAAAAAATAGGAGGAAAATAGGAATTTTTGTGAGAAAATATATGTTAAATAGGAATATTTGTTGCGTTAGATGGCTTCCCAACACCCCTACAGCCATCCCGATCCACCACAAATGGTTTTATTAATATACATATTTTTAGTTACATCACATATGCGAACAATATTTTGAGGTTTTAATGAGAAATGCATGTTAAAATTGATAAGCAGTTTATACATGCATAAGCACCCATACATGTAGACTACTCCAAAATAGTAGTGATAATCATTAAAAATAAAGACTTGACATGCACATGATATAAGATTATTCAGAAATTGTGCATTAAATTTTTACTATAAAGCAAAAATATGTTAAATAGGAATATGTGTTCATTAGAATGATTAGATGGCCTCCCAACACCCCTATAGCCATCCCGATCCACCACAATTGTTGTTTTTTGTTTATTTCGAATTAAAATATATTTGAATGTGCATCAGATAGAATTTTTTTTTAAGGTTCTAAAAAGAAATGCAAGTTAAAATTTATCTGCAGTTTCTACATACGTAAGCACCCATACATGTAAAAGACTACTCCAAAATGGTAGCGATTTCAAAATAAATGACTGGACATGCACAATGATACGACATTCCTCAGAACTTGCGCAAAGCAAACGTATCAGAAAAGATGATTAGTGTGTCAAACTTCATGTATTGATATAACAAAACTATTGACACACCATGTGTAATGAGATTTTCAAGTTTTACAAAAAAATGATTTCGGCTGTCCCGGCCAACATAAAACCGTCATGAACTATTAACATATAATTCACCCTCTATTATTAAAATGAAGTTGAATTTATAATATACTCTGGCAAATCACCGTGTACTGCAATGATGCCTTCATATTTGGATGTCTTTATCCATCAATTACATATGAAAATCAATAGCATTTTTCGTAAAGAAGTCAGTCCAGGAACACCTACAGTTTCAGGCATAATAGTTCTGGTGTTCATGCTGTTTTAGACTTTTTAGCAGGGTTGGCGTAGCCTCAGTCTTGTTATTTGACTTCTTTTTTGTTGCAGGTTGCTTTCCTGGAATAGCTTTTTCCAGCAGTCTATGTGTCCGGTTGTCCAAGTACCGTTTCTTGTACCTTACTTCATCCAGGCGTTTCATGGCTTCTTCTCGTTTGGCTTTAGCAGTATCCAGCATCATGGTGGCAACATTAACGCTTTGCTTCTTAACAGTTGCACCAGTGAGAGCATCATGGAGTTTCGTTGTTGCATCATTTAGCAGCTCATCAGCAGCTTCCAAATCAGCTCTTGCTGCCGTTTCCTTCTGTGCCAGATTTTTCTCTCTCTTAGCCAGTGACTCCTTAGTTTCCAGAAGTTTTTCTTTGTCCTTTTCTCTTAGATCAGCTTCTTATCTCTTCTTTCTTCTTTATGGCTGCACGGCTAGCCTGACCCAGTATGGCCGCACGGCTAGCCTGACCTAGTACGACCGCACGGCTAGCCTGACCCAGTACGACCGCACGGCTAGCCTGACCCAGTATGACCGCACGGCTAGCCTGACCCAGTATGGCTGCACGGCTAGCCTGACCCAGTACGACCGCACGGCTAGCCTGACCCAGTATGGCTGCACGGCTAGCCTGACCCAGTATGACCGCATGGCTAGCCTGACCCAGTACCGCTCCGCATCATTATTCACGTCCATAAACGTAGGCCGCACACGTTCGGACGCTGCGAAATAATAAATCCGGCCGTTCACGTACGCCGAGCGGTTATTTATCACCGACAGCGAGCGACCATGTATTGGTCCCTCGAGAGCAGGGGACTGCAGCTGACTGCGCATCGCCGCAGGCGCCATCAATTAATGCACGCTAGGCTAGATTACTGAGGGTGAGTGGTGCCCAATCTATCAATTCAGCAGTCTGCGCTCTCCGCGGCTAACGACGCTCTAACCGACGACGGCCAAGTGGTGCAATGCTCCCACTTATGTGCTCATATTGCACGCTGAGAGAAAATTCATCGTGCAATAAATCCACGCGAGTTTTTCATCTAGCTTAACGAAGATAAGCTACACGGGTTGTTGAAGCCGTTGCTAACAGGTTAGTTTAAGATTCACTTCATAGAATAACATCACTCTTAATCAATACATGTTATTATGAATCCCATGTTAGTGGGGGTGAGTGTGTAATCGATTACCTCACTAGTTCATACCTTCTACAACTAATGTGGCACTAACCAGTAACTCAGTGATGCAGTGTTCATACTCCACTTTATTTTAAGAATGACTTTCTTTTATAATAAATCTAAACCTGATCTGTTAGTGTTAGTCACAGTTTCGAAAACTTGCGTAGTTGTCTCTGCCAAGCTGATTGAACAAGACATTTTGCTTGACACATACAGTGAGATCGGATATCGAAACTGCTGTTAACAAGGCAATATACTTAGGTTTCTCATCAAAATAAAACTTATCAACTATAAAAATAAAACTCTTTATATTATCACGAAATCCGATGAACTACTGATACGTAATCATGTTAAAATGATCCTTACTGATCATAGATAAATAACTTTCATGCCAAAAGCGACATCATCTGCATCTATGTTGATTGCGTCGTTACCTGGCGTTTGCTTGCAGATGTCTGCAGCTTTTCTAGTTGAGCTAGAAGAGGCGTAACATCACTGTAACTGCTGAGGTCCTGAGGAACGAGACTTCGATCTGCTTCGTGTGTAGCTTGAACCTCTGTGCAGATGTATCACGACATCAATAAACACTTGTGCAGAATTCACAATGAGTAACTGAGTTAAGGCCCGTCTCAACACACGCGGCGCGGCACGGAACGCCACGGAAACGGCGTCGTTCACCCCTACCGGCAAAGTTCAAATCTATTATATCTTATGGCGCAGTCTCCACTGACACAGCACGGCGCCAGCCGGGTTTCACGGCGACGGCGAAAGTCAAATGAGTTTGACTTTTGCCGGCTGACGTGACGGCGAAAAGACAATTGAACCAATCAACGCGATTGCTTTTTATCTCGTGTTTTGCTCACGCTTATACCATCAGCAATGGACTTCAAGCACATGCATAATTTCTGATCACTGAACCAGCAGTTGCAACACATTGCCGCTCAGACACAATGCGCGAAAATCACAATGTATCTTTTTTCAGCACAACGGCGCTGTCGTCGTGTCGTGCGCGTGTGTGGACGATCAGGACAAATACCCCCGGACAATCACCCCGGACAATTACCCCGGACAATTACCCCCCGCGACAATTACCCCCATGCCATTTACCCCATGCCATTCACCCTGGACATTTACCGACAATTTACCCCGCGACATGTACCCCCGGACAATTACCCCGGACATTACCCCCCCGGACAAATTCCCCCGACAATTACCCCTGGACATTTACGTCAGACAATTACCCCCGCGACATTTACCCCCGGACAATTACCCCCCGAAATTTACCCCGGACAATTACCCCGCGACATTTTACCCCCGGACATACCCCCCGAACATTTACCCGGACAATTTACCCCGGACATTTACCCACCCGCCGACAAATTCCCCCATGACCATTTTTACCCCTGCATTCACCCGGACATCACCCCTCCGGACAATTACCCCCGCGACATTTACCCCCGCGCGACAATGTACCCCCGGACATTTACCCCCGGACAACTTACCCGGACAATTACCCCCCGGACATTTCACCCTCCCCCCCCCCCCCCCCCCCCCCCCCCCCTTGCCATTACCCCATGCCATTCACCCCGGAAATCACTCGGACAACTTACCCCCCGGGACATTTTACCCCCCGGACAATTACCTCCGGCACATTACCTCCCAGACAATTAACCCACGCCGACATTAACCCCCCAGACATTTATCCCCGGGCAATCACCCTCCTTGACAATCACCCCGCGGACAATTACCCCCCGACACATTAACCCCCGCGACAATTTACCCCGCACAATGCGTGCGTGCGTGCGTGTGTGCGTGTTGCAGGTACACGTGTGTGCAGCGCTACACGATTGTGCATAGTGTGCGTTGCGTGCCGTGCGATACGTACACGTGCGTGCGTGCTGGCGTGTGCTTTGCCTATCGAACAATATCAGGCTTGCCTGCCCAACGTTAAACTGCGCCATTCGTGCGAGCAAATATACGTCAATGTTTGAATAACATCTGAAACATCGCTATTGTCCGGGCGTAAATTGGTCCGGGGGGGTAACAATGTCCGGGCGGGTAACACGTCCGCGGGGGGTGATTGTCCGGCGGATGAATGGCGATGGGGGGGTAAATGGCATTGGGGGGTAATTGTCGCGGCGGGTAAATGTCCGGGGGTAATTGTCGCGGGAGTAAATGGCATGGGGGTAATTGTCCGGCGGGTATATGTCCGCGGGGCTAATTGTCCGGGGGTGTAAATGTCGGGGGGTAAATCGTCGGGGGGTAAATGTCCGCGGGGGTAAATGGTCGGGGGGTAAATGTCGCGGGGGCTAAATTTCGGCGCGGGGTAATTGTCTGGTGAGGTAAATGTCCGGGGGGTAATTGTCCGGGGGGTAAATGTCCGGGGGGTAATTGTCCGGAGGGTGATTGTCGTGGTTGTCGGGCCTTTACGTATTTGGTTCAATATTATAGTAACTTCACAAGATGACACTGATGTTAACACCCTACTCCCCTCCCCAAACACACATGCACGCACACGTATGCACACACACACGCACACACACACCCATTTTCATGAAGGTGCCTCTACACGAACACGATATTTCCTCAGATTGACACGCAAGAAACTAAAACATTTTTGCATTTTTTCCTAATTAGAGCGTACGTATCCCTATCCCACCTATCCCCACCCACCAACACTCACGTACCTGTAATGCGAGGCGTGTAGCAGTGCTGCCGACACCAGACCATGATGTACTTTCTGCTCCAGTGAGCTGCGGGTTGAAATCGCTCGTGTGTCGACGACAGCTTCTGTAGGATGTGTCGGACCGAGCACGCTCGCTGCCACTGTGAGAACGCGCTACTAGTGTCACCGATACGCAAAAAACTGGATTCACACACCTCACGGCAATTGCGGGAGCTTCTTCTCTGAATTTACACGGTTCGTTTGGCAGTACCATGGGATTTAAACCGAATACAACATTTTTAAACATCTAATCTTTCATGTTCTGTACGATGTTTACATCTTGAATGTTTGATGGATAATACACAAGATGTACTTAGTGTATTCACGCTTACAGCATACATATTTGGCGTAAACATAGTACAGTACACAGCGCACATAGCACATAGTACAATATAGTGGATAGTACCAAGAGCGTATAAAGAAGGAGAGCGTACAACGGTGAAATGCTGAAACCATGTTGCAGTATTAGTCGAATTAATAAACTTTCCCCGTTTGATTTTGACGATTCTTTGCAGTATTATTGATCAGCTGTCCTACCTTGTTAATATAAAACAAACCGCATGTCCCTACGATGCCCCTACGCTAAAATCTGGTATTTTCGCCAAAAACCGACTCGAGATACCTGCTGACTACGACTGTCTCTCGCTTTGAGATAACTTCGGGAAACCTCGCGCGTTTCCGTCAATGATTGACAAATGGAATGAATTAATTGTCTGTTATTGATTGCCATAGTGATGACCCCCACCTGTGCCCACCTCACGCTGGATGTAGTAAACTCTGTAGTACTGACGTAATGAGTCAGCGCTACCATGGCGCTACCATGGCGCTACACAGCGGCGACCGGAAGCAACACACTGGCCACAAAGCGAGAGAGGGTCGCAGCAAACAGGGATCTCGAGTCGGTTTTCTTCAAAAATACCAGATTTCCACCACTCATTATCTCAGCATAGGGGCATCGTAGAGACAAGCGGTTTGTTTTATATTAGCAGGGTAGGACAGCTGATCAATAATACCGCAAAGAATCGTCAAAATAAAACGAGCAAAGTTTATTAATTCGACTAATACTGCAACATGGTTTCAGCATTTCACCGTTGTACGCTCTCCTTCTTTATACGCTCTTGATAGTACCCAGTACAAAGTAAACATACATTGCAGAATTAATGTGCAATAGTTGGGCACGAAACTGGACGATTTAGTTTACTTGGTGGGAATTTACACGCCGAATCAGTGTTTTACTGAAGATGGTGTAGCATGGTACACATGCCCCCTGGGAAAAATCCCCCCCCTACATTGCACATGGGCACGTCGACGTCTAGCAGGGTGCATCGTAACTGTCCCTCAGCTTTCGCCTTTATTTCCCATGTGCAATGTGCAATGTAGAGGGGAAGGCGACCTTTTCCATAGAGGGGATGCATACAATGCCACAGTGGTAGAAGCAAAAGCACTCTCGCTGCGTGGAAACACGAGGGTTCTGTAGTGAACTGTTACCTCTGCCGCTCTTCTCTTTCCGAGGTTCCAGCGAGCGAATGCATCAAAGCTATCGACAGACCACGGGCGGGACCTCCGATCTACAATAACACAAAATACTAAGATCACTACACATCTATAAAGAACAGAGTATTTTGTGTAGATATATGTTCATGATAATGCCCAGAGAACCAGGCGCTCATTTACTAGCTAGTTCTTAGCATACGAAAAGACACTATAACAGAACACAGGTGTCAGGGATTGAATTTGAATTTTATTTAGGGCAGGGCTGCTCTGGGTTTTATTAATCAGATATTTTAGAGGACCACAGCAGGTTGAAAGTTTAGCAGGAAGCTAAACATTACCTTCAAAGAAGAGTTATCAAAGCGGTGTAGTTTTTAACAAGAGTTTGATGTAGGACATAAACGGATACATACACGACGTGGTATTTATGGAAAGGGCAAGGAGGCAAACTAGGTAGTGGCAGCTAATGTGGTTTATTGCTGTGGATAAAAAAATATCAAATTTTCAGGGGCACAACAGAAAATAAATAGGGCATCCGTCGCTAGTAGGGAGCTAGGGCCACCACGGAACTTTCTGTTGGTGCCTAGGTGAAATCTGTGCCTGATCGTAGAGAAGGGCAACACGTCTACCATTTCGGCATGTCCGATTTTGTTTAACTGCAAAAGATGAGAACTAAAGCCCGCCGCACACGTGAGTAATTTTACTCAAGTAAAATTATGCATGCGTCAAAATACTGAACAAAAATCTGCCTCACACGTGAGTAATTTGACGCATGCTTCACAATACTCAACGAAAATCCGCCGCTCACGTGAGTATTTTGACGCATGCATCATTTCACTTGAGTAAAATTACTCACGTGTGTGCCGGGCTTTAGGTTATCGCTTACCTGAATTAGCACTAATTAGCGGATGCTTCTTAACGATGTAGTTCAGCAGCTGTTCTGGTGTGGACAAATGTTCTATCCTGCAACAAACATATGGCATTCCAGAATACATAGATAAAGAATTATGTAAAACACATATCACGTATAGAAACTTACAGCCAATCTCAGGCACTGCATTTTAAAATGATCATTTACTCAACTATCTGCCATAATATGACGACTGCATATTGGCCTGTCACGAAAATTTAATCTAACAGCAGGGTTTCACAGTGTCTCATCGCTTTTAGATGGTAAATTTTATTCTTCAATGTGTAAATTTACATTTACGTATAACATCTTTTCATTTTTAAATTGAGCTAACAATTGAGTAAGAACCAAGAATGTACCCATCCGTCTGATCGCGATAACTGCTACAGCTTGAAAATAGTCGCTACGTTGGTAAAGTTAAACCAGTTTATGTTTTTCGTGTGTGGGCGCCAAACTGTCAACCGAGGCTCTTTGACGCCCAGCATTGTGTTTTAGAACATCCTGTCGCAACACAGATTGTCTAGACCTGCCTGCCAATCACTCCGCGCGCGCAGACAAATTTAACGAAAACTTACGTGTCTGGTAACTCTCCTACTATCTCATCATCATTGTTCCCGTCGCTACCCTCAGTAACTGCAACCTGTGCGTACGTCGACACACCAGTCGAATGTTTAGCCTGCAGGGGGCTTGCGGAAGGCCTCAGTCCAGCCAGCTGGAGCGAGTGCCTACCGATTTGCTTCGCGACGGAGTCCGCGTGGCCCGTTACCGCGAGCGGGGGCGGGCGACGAAACATCACGAGCTGTTCGCGTGTGCCGAGCAGCTTCTGTTGACCCTGCACCAGCTTTATCATGACGGGGCGCGAACTCATGCCTGTGACGCCGTTCCTGAGTGGACCAAACCTGAGCTGCACGTCGCCGCACGGAAGTTTGGACGCCGCACGCATCGAGGGATCATCTCGAAGCGCCGCGGCAACGTCGGAAGTTAACTGGGTGCTCGTACGTGAAGAGGGATTCGCCAACTTGACACTGGAAGCAGTCGCGTGAGCGTTGACGACAGCACAAATCTTCTGAGCGTTCGCGGGAGAGGTGTTCGCCTGAGTGTTCACGGCAGAGGCAATCCTGTGTGTGTTCATAGCAGAGCAAATTGTTGGAGTGTTCACAGGAGAGGTGATTGGGTGAGTGTTCACAGCGGTGCGCGTGAGTGCAGCTAGACTCGTCTTCGTGGTACCCTGTGATTTTACGAGGATTGCTGACCTGGGGACAAGAACAACCCTACCTAGCTTGTCGACACAGCGAATGTAGGTTTGCGGGCGGTCTGGGGACAAAGCGGCTGGCTGGCCAGTGGGAGCGACAAGACGCTGACACGTCACAGACGACTTGAGCAGACTCTGTGTGAATATTGCCGAGCGCGGCTGCTGCTGCTGTTGCTGTTGTTGTTGCTGCTGCTGCTGAGGTTTCTGCTGCTGCTGTAGCTGTTGTTGTTGTTGTTGTTGTTGCTGCTGCTGCTGATGAGGTTTTTGCTGCTGCTGTTGTTGCTGGATAGCAGCAGAGGGAAAGTGCGTAGCAGTCACCAAACTCAACACTCGTGAGGGGCTTGCAGTCAGCTGCAAAACAGGTGTGATGCAACCGGTCTGATCGGGCTGTCCTCCCTCGCTCGCCGCCACCTCACAGGCGACGAATGGCGCACCCACACCCGCATGTTCGTTCGGCTGGCGCGTGCCCGTGTTGTTGCGCAGGGACTCACGAGAACCAGGGTCATCACCCACGGCTCCGGGTTGCGATGCGGAGCCTGACTGCTCAACATCCTCACCCTCCCGTCGTTCGCTGTCATCCGTTACCATGGTAACGTCGATCGCCGGCCGCTCTTCGCTACGGAGAAGGTTCGCATCGTTGGAGACCTGCGACGTGTTCCGCGGAGGCGCGGCGACGACCTCGCGTTTTATCGCGTGCGGATCAGGGGAGCTTACGTCCAAAGGACGCGCCTCGGCAGGCCTGGAACTTTTCCGAGACGCGGCGCTGTCCGCTGAGTCGTGAGCGACGTCGATCCCCGGTTCTCGCTTGATGCGTCCGATTTCCGAGGAGCTTACGATTTCCGAAGAATGCGACCAGGCCTCGGCAGGTCGGGAACTTTCCGTTTTCCGAGACGCAGCGCTCTCCGCTGAGTCATGTGGGACGTCGACCCCAGGTTCTCGATTGATTTCGAGCGGCGGCGTGATTCCCTTGCCGCCGACTGCCAAACAGGTTTCGGATGCGGGCGTTTCCACGCGGCTGGAACCTTGCAACGTGCTCACTGACACGTCGACATCGTTGGCGCTCATCGTGGAGTGCTGTGTGGAGCCCTGCGGCATATCTTCTATGCCACCACGATTCGCCGGCTCAATCGCCAAACTATTCTCGGATGGTACTTCGCTAAGAGGCAGGCCGTCTCGCGAGTCAGCTTCGATCTGTCGTGATCCGGTGGCGTCAGAAGATGAATTTGTTTCCTTGTGGTCGCGAAGTGGCTTTTCCAACTCGATGTCAATTATCTGTAATGTACGAGATGTAAAATAAATTAAACGTGAGTAATTAATGTACGTATGGCGTCATCGTGTTGCATGTTAGACCGCAGAGCTGCGCAAGTGTCAAAAATTACTCTCCTATTATAAACCGTAACATATTGCGACGCTTCGCATAAAAAAAGAAGAAGAAAAATATATATTGGAGAAACCGGCTGCAAATTTGAAACCCGCCTTAGCGACACCATAGACACCAGACAAATAGACACCATAGCTCCCAAATCATTCACAAAAGCCCAACGAAAACAGTCGGCTACCGAAATATCTAAATCCTCGATCACGAACCACGTAGCGACCGCCAATCACACTATCGATTGGGATAATTCGAAGATTATCGATCGTGAGCCAATCAAAATCAGGCATTGGATTAAGGAAGCCATCTGGGTCCGCAAGACACCGAACATCAACCGTGACGAGGGGGATACAGACTCAGTCACGTGTGGACCACGCTGTTGACCACCACACCATCTGGTGGTAAAAACTGATAACTTGAGTCAGCTTTGAGAAAGCCTCCTGATAGGAGGCGAAACGTCAACAGTACTTTTTGAGTCAACACGGTTGAGTAAAAATTAATCAAGATAGATCTATTATCTACCAACCGAACGAACTTATTTAATGAGGTATATAATGTATTATATAACAAGAGCCGCAGAGCGTCTGGGCTCATCTGAGGTCTGTTGCTACGGTTATAAACGTAACATTTAAGTCGTGCGTAGTGACACCTTTGTTAGGCGCAGATATGCAGATACGCAGTTGCGTACACATCATTTCAGCAACCTTCTGCATTCTGCATACCTCCCAAATCCCATTGGTTGATACAAATCGCGTGCCTGAAACTCCTGTTTTATGGTGAATTGTGACCCTAACCCTAACCCTATTAAAAATAAAAAAAATTAATTGTTGTACAAATTATTTGTTGTTATTAAATTGTTGTAAATAAATCATGAAAATATTTGCGTTAATTGGAAAAAAATAGTTAAATGGATAAAGATAAAAAAATACATAAAACAGGTAAATAATAAAAAATCAGATGGGATTTAATCCAACGACCTTTCAGCCGTGACGACCGTGCTGTACGCGTTCGGCTTTCCAGGCTTATTGGGTTTCTAGATTATGGATGTGCCATGAATATGAGAACAATGTGACATCACTGAGGCAGTTCAGGAATCCATGATTAACCCTCCTCTTGAGGGTCAAAAAGTTATCACACAATTACTCTTCGCACGTCAGTGGAAAGCACATTTCATGGTCCTTTCAATAAAGTGATAAAAATGGTAGGTCAGCGCTGAAACAAAAAAGTTTTTCACTCTGTCCGTTAGGCCATGTCCTCAAATGAAATTGTCAATGACACTGTAGCTCACCACAAAAAAAGACACAAATGAGTGAGTAAGAAGAAGTCAGTTTTAATTGAGCAACCATCGACGTACATTATAGAAACTATTGCCATCAGTATATCGCAATAATCATTTATAAACCAAAATGAATCACAATTTGTGACCGTAGATGGCGCTATACTCGCTTTGTAGCGATGGCGTTGGAAATAAATAGGTTACGCTGGCGTTCCGACATGTTTTGTAAAACTTTACCTTATATAGACGTTTTATCGCAGGGTGGAGAGAAATACCATTTTGCATTAAAGATATTGTCAATGAAATCTTGTAAACGAACCAGACAAGTGTGACACACAGACTATTTGTGTCTATATAATATGCTATATAATATGAAACCCTACCTAATTTGCATAATTTTTTTTTAAATATCAAAACCTTTACTGTATTCATTCACATACAAAAATGAGCAAAATCGTTGAACCTGAACTGACTAATGGCAATTCCCATTTTCCAAAAAATTGCTGTGGCTCGAAAGTAGTCGACGGCGTGCTCAAAATAGGATGTTTAATATGGAGCATAGCAGTAACAAGTGCGCAGAGCGACAGCGCTCATCTAACGTCTACTGCGGTGACTCTGTGTAGAGTGTGAGATTCTAGTAAACCCTGTTAGTCCCAAATGTGTTCACATACACGCCGAAACAGTGGAATGCACAGGGATGGTATCAGGAACCTTTTCAAAAGAATGTTCTTTGGATCGTTAGTAAGTTGCACGATGATGCGCGTACGTTTAAGTGTCTTTCAGATTAAATATATTGTCACCGACTATCACACCTAGGTCGAGCCGTTTAGATTTGTCGCGCAATTCTGCATTTCCTCCTATACCTTAAGTTAAGGAGTGAATGTCCCTCCTTCTTTTACACCTCTTGACTTTGACCTTTGACCCCAGCTTCGACTCCAACTCGTTTTCGATACCCCCCACGTCGAATATCGTGACCGTACGTCGAGCGTTAAATTTGTGCCCAACTGTTGCACGGACGCTCGGACCTGACAGGACGGGACGGACGATCGATGCGATTAGTCACAAGCTGCATCTGACTATGTCAGATGAGCTAACAACTATACCCAATTTCAAACATGTGGGCCAAACGGTTCCTGAGTTATCGTTGACCGTAGCGAAATGTTGACGGACAGACGGACGTACGACGGACGACGACCCATGGCAATAGCTCAGCTTGACGATGTCAAGGTGAGCTAAAAATGTCTGATATCTGACCTTTCCCCCACTGCCCTTTGACCTGTGACCTCCAATTTCGCACTGGTGATGGGTTTCCTGCCCATCACACTATACATCAAATATTAAGAGCATAGGTCGAGCCGTTAAGATTTGTGCCGCAATTCCGTATTTCCTCCTATACCTTAAGTTAAGGGGGAAATATTCCCCCTCCGTTTACACATCTTGACCTTTGACCCTTGACCCCCAAATTTGTCATCCCGAGTTCTTTTTACAATCGCCTCCCACATCCTGAATATCGTGACCGTACTTCGAGCGGTTAATATTTGTGCCCAACTGTTGACGCACGGATGCACGGACGGACGCACGCACGCTCATGCGATTCTACAAGCTGCATCTGACTTTGTCAGATGAGCTAATAATTACACATACTTGCGAGATTTGCGACAATTGCAGATTTTACTAGCACTCTTTAAAATTATTACTTACTGTTTCTGCTCCCAATGTCTGAAGTCCTGTGTATGTTTTGTCTAACTGTAATTATAGAGAGATTAATGTTTCATCAAATGCTGGCCATTGGTATCAACTCTCATATAAAACGTGACACTGTATTGTGCAATACAGGGCTTATACACCGAAGGCAAAACTTTTTCCAAGATAAGAGTTTTTCAATGATCAAGAAATTTTAGCCAGAAATTACTTTGGAATTCCAGAACCCAAACAAACTCTGTTTGCAATCACTATGAACAACATATTTCATATGTTATATATTATTTATATATTATATATATATGGCAGACAATACCTTCAAATTATGAAGGACATCAACTCGTTTATTTCTCGAATCCCAGAAATGGAGCTGAACTCTGACAGGGAATTCTCCCCAGCCTCTCCTTGTCAGATGAAATGGTGGCTGACTGAAACCATGACAACAGTGGCATTCTACTAACACATGCACACATACTTATGTGACCTTGACAAAAAAAATACTTTTGACACAAATTAAGTAATATAAACAAACTACTTAGCTCTTGGGAGAAGATCATCAGATTTTTCATAATAATGTAATAAGTAATTTCATTTAATTTTAAATCCAAGTCTAATTGACCCGATGTGACAGTTTCGACAACCGGTCTAGGTCTATACCTCTCTTTATTAAGCTGGATAAAACAGTTCCTCACCTACTTCCATCTGGTGACAAGCAAAAGCAACTTCAATCTGTTTGACATTGCCAGGAGTAAATACCAGAGTACTCGTATTATTTACTCAAAACATTATTTAGTTAGATGTTTTTGTTGATTCTTACTCCACTAATTTGTGTATTACAGTCACCAATTTGGCCGATAACACACACCAAAAAATCTACACTCCTATTAAAAAATCAAGAGTGAAGCTTCTTAGATTGACCTTGTATTGACATTCAAACAATAGATATATTCAAATAATATATATATATATATAATTTTACCTCATTTCAACAAAGTCATTCGGTCGATAGCTCGGGTGCAAGAACAGCCAGACCTTCTTTACAAAAGCACTTATGTCTGGCTGCTCACGCGTGCCACGTACATACACCATCCACTTGTGCGTTGATTGATCACTACCCTCCCTGTGATCCGGTGGAATGTACCTGTGGATTTCAGCAAAAAGGGTGTTAACATACTTCAGAACTCACGTATAAATCGAGTATAATTAAATATTGGCAGTAAGACATGATCATACTACAGCTGAAGGAGTCGTTGTCATATCAGGTACTACAGATATGTACCCGAGGTACATATATGTATACACAAAGTGTACCAGATTGTTCACTACCAGAAGGTGCTACCCTAAGCCCCTAAACCCTAGCCCTAACCCTAAACATACCTTATATAACAAAGTGTCGCATAGCGACAGCGCTCACTCTAAACGTCTACTGCGGTTGACTCTGTGTGGAGTGGAGGAGATTTAGTAAACACCTGTTAGTCCCAAATGTGTTCCATAACACGCCAAACAGTGGCATGCACAGGGATTGTATCAGGAACCTTCCAAAAGAATGTCCGTGGACTGTATGAATGTTGGCTACGAGATGGCGCTGTACGTTTGAAGTTGTCTTCAGATTAAAGATGGAAGCCCATCATTGAGTACAGACGAACTATTTGCAAGACAGAATAGGTAAGCACTCATCCATTTACCTACGCAAGCCTACAGCCTGCAATTGCAACTACGAGAGTGCCACTGCCAACCAATTAACGCAAGGCAAAAACTCGCCCCTACACATCACTGGCAGCAGCCACTGGCAGGTGCATACGTTACATGTAACTCACTGACAGTACAAATGACATAGAAATTATACGTATTAAGGAACACACCTTTCTTTAACCAAAATTTAGCTTTGAAATTTCACGTGTGACATTGTAGCCTCATACATCAGATGTATAGTTCATACTAGCAAACCCGGCAGTCAATTCTTTTCTAAGCAGACAGTCAACGAAATCCAAGCTTTAACCCTCCCTCTTGAGGTCAAAGAGTATTCCGACACTTTACCATTCGCATGTCAGCAGAAGGAACATTTCGATCGGTCCTGTCACATAAAGCATAAAAATGCTAGGTCACGCCTGAAACAAAAAGTTCTGCAATCGCCCGTAGCCAGTACCTCATGAATAGTCTAAAATCTGCCTGTCGCCACTGACCTTACCTGGGACCTCCAATTTCGCACAAGTGATGCTTTTGCTACATGACGCTATACACGACTATCCGAGCTAGGTCGAGCGTTTAGATTTTGTTGCCGCGAATTCTGCATTTCCTCCCTTATACCTTAAGTTAAGGACGTGAATGCTTCCCCTTCTTTTACACCTCTTGACCTTGACCTTTGGACCCCCAGCTTCGATCATCCAACTCAGTTTTTCAGATTACCCCCCACGTCCGAATATCGGTGAGTACGTCGAGTAGCGGTTAGGATGTGTGCCTAACTGTGAGCGGGAACGCGTTCGACGATGGTTACGGTAGGCTTGGGAGTACGCGTCAGGGCTGCCGCTCGGAGGTAGCTTAGACGCCTCGGAGGACGCACGACGGTAGAGGCTGGACGGGAGGCGGGTGGGCGAGGCGGCAGGAGGCAACGGACGATCAAGCGATTCTACAAGCTGCATCTGACTATGTCAGATGAGCTAAAAATATAAACATAATACTAAACAACCTAAAACTACCTCGGGTACATATCTGTAGTACCTGATATGACAACGACCCCATCTGCCATACTACAAGACAAATGCCAAGTGTAATTATATGTTCACTCTGAGATATGTTATATCACAAATGACAGGTTATATCATAAATGATAGAAGTCCGGTGAACGTCCCATACTTGGAAACGTTTCCAATGATGATGCGTTTCTTAAGTTTGAAGCGTGACAGCCGATTCTCGGCCATCGTCTCCACAGTTCTCACTGGCTTCACCAAGTTCACGATAGAAACCTGCATTCACAGGAAAACGCAACGTTACTTCTGTGCATGAACACATATCTGGACTATCTGCAATAAAGAACCTTATACATGATCAGGAGTTAATCAAGACAAATTTTTTTGGTTTACTACAGTACTGATATTATATACATATATATATATTATATATATAATATATATATATATATATATATAAATGAAAATGAAATTGAACGCGAGAAGAGAAACGGCACTCATCACGGATTCGCGCACACAGAATCTTCGATGGTCGAGGACGTATCGTACGTACCAGCTCATCGGCTCTCTCATCCTGCCTGCTCTCTCTCAGGTTCCGCACCGCAGGCCGCCTCGTTTTCTTTCCTTCCTCCTGGTTTTCCAACGCCGTCGCCTCGACGACACTGCATGCCGAACTTCTGCTTGACGCTTCGCCGACATCTGCCGCCGCGGATTCCTCGCTGGCTTGCAGTGATGGTGGACACTGATCGTGACTTGCAGGTTCCTGAGCGGGTTTCAAGATTGCTTCGTTGGCAGATGTAGTCTGGTCGTTGTTTTCGGTGGTCATTTCGCGTGTCTCTGCTATAGTGCAGGCACGGGCCGAAGGCGGATCCGAATGAGTCCCATGACTTCGCGTGCTCACTGGCGCTTTGCCAATGTGTTTTTTCACTGCTGGATGCACTGACGGAATAGACGACTGGGGAAAAACAACAAGTATAACAAAATGCGAACATTTTAAAATAAAGTTTTCACAATTAGGTATTCTTAATACCCTCCTTTTAAATTTCTATGAATATACGCTGTTTTTAAAAACAGGCTTCGCAGCTGAACACTTGGAAATCTGTTAATCTCCAGAAAATTCTCATCCCCTGCAAAATACAGTTCTCATATATTCATATAGCGTGCGAAACACTATACCATAAAAAGTGACCAAGGTCATGAACCTAAATTTTCATAATTTATATTTTATTTAAAAAATTGCGTGTTTTTTAGCGTGATACATCCGCTTTAAATAGGCTTAAGTAAAGTGAGATGTAGATCTAGGAAACATGGGGAGACTTGTCTGCTAGCAGCTTTAACACACAATGATGCCACTTGGGCCTTACCTGTGTAGGTGTAGCCTTCATGTAGTAGTTGATTACAAGGCAAGCTCGCAATCTATCCAACATTGCTCTGGCTTCATGCAATCTCTGAAAGAAGTGGAATAAATTAAACTTGTTATTACACTTTACCTCCCTAGTCTAGCCATTCATCGATCTATGCATCCAGCAACCCATCCATCCGTTCGTCCATCCATCCATCCATTCATCCACCAATCAATCAATCAATCAATCCATCCATCCATTCATCCATCCATCCATCCATCCACCCACCCACTCACCCATCCATCCATCCATCCATCCATCCATCCATCCATCCATCTATCTATAGGTCAAATAAATATATAAATGAACCAAGAGACAAAGGTCATATATATACATATATATGTATATCAGGAGTAGATGAAGGGAAGGAGTGTGACTTCAATAAACAAGGGAAATTCGTCGTTTACTAGCCTTAGAATACCTACGATTTACTACGCGTAACTCAACCAACTTGAACTCAAATCGTACACAGTACGATTCGCCTAGCATCGTGCGAAATAGTTTCCTCGTATACACCCGCAATCCGGAGATACAGACTAAACCGTACGACACGATTTTCCATTCTGTTGCCAGCAAACTCGATGTGTTAACCGCCCAACTCAAAACAAAAGGCAGCTGTAAATAGGTCAAAGGTTAGCTCAGCGAGCCACACCGCATTGCCGAGGGCGCAAGAGTCGTTAGTAGCTGCCTTTTGTTTAAAGTTAAGCGGTTATAACACATCGAGTTTGCTGGCAACAGAATGGAAAATCGTGTTGTACGTTTTAGTCTGTATCTCCGGATTGCGGGTGTATACGAGGAAACGATTTCGCATGATGCTAGGCGAATGTACTGTATACGATTTGACCTCAAGTTGGTTGAGTTACACGTAGTAAATCGTAGGTATTCCAAGACTAGTAAATGACAAATTTCCCTTGTTTATTGAAGTCACACTCCTTCCCTAGTATCTACTTCTGATGTATATGTATAGCAAGTAGCTCCTTTTTATTGACCTTTATATATCATATATTATATAAGCTTTAAACAGGGTAGAAAAATGCACTACCTTATCCACGTTGTGAATCTCCTGTTCTTTATTTTCCAGTTCCACTGCAAACTGCTTCTTCACAATAGATGCAATCTTTTTTATCGTAGATTCCTTGGCTATGAGAAGCAAGCAATTCGGAAACATTATAGCTCTAAAATCTTACAATAAGTTCTATATACAAATAACAGAATAGTCCAGCCTGTGTTAGCAGCCTTCTTGCAGAATAAATACCTGTATGGAAAGAATACTTCTATAGAATAGACACGTACCTGTCTGCAGAATATATTCTTGGTGTTTCTAATGATTGGCAGTTATACATTAAACCTCCTCTATAAAACAGTCAGTCACCTGTCTATAAAGAACACTCTTGGTGTTTTCATTGATTGGTAGTAGCAGTAGGTACACAATGACACTACCTCTACAGAACAGACAGCCGTCGACAAAGGACACCCGATTGACACTTATATACAGGTTTGAATGCACCGACAACTCGATTCAATAACGGCATGATTCCAGCATTAACATGATCTGTTCACAGAATTATTTACCGTCCTCCTGCAGGATTTTCTGCCGCTTTGCCCCCGGGTAGTCTGAGACAGACTCATAATCGGGATCCTGGTCTTGAAGCTTCCTTTTCTCGCAGTCTTCCTTCAAATCTAAATCTGTAGATTCCTGTTCAGCCATTTAGGATACGTGTCGAGATGATATTTTCGAAACTGCAGCTGGTTGAATGACCCTGTGTTGGAATAGACCTGTAAGAAGCAAAACACGTAGTTTTAGTGGTAGATATAACATCCAAAGTATAATGTAAATATATATCACCTAACTTTATTTAACCTAGCTAGGTTTAATTGTTATGCATATATCTGATAGTGATATGATTAGGGTTAGGGTTAGGGTTAAGGAGTAGGCGTAGGCGACTCCCTAGACTCGTTAGTGGAGTAGTACGCAGGCGAGGTACGGTCCGGCATATTAGATATAGTACCAGCAGAGCATATATATCACGTTGATTTGTATGCTATGGTACCAGGGTACGTTCCGGCAGTAGCCTGGGGGACATAGACCTTCTCAGCCATACATAAACTATATATATATATATATATATATCAGGGTATTAGCGACACAGCGACGGAGCGGCTAGTTCTACATCAGTTTTTGTGATTCAAGCAAGTTGAGATCGGTAGTAAAGTCTACAATCATGTAGGGGCTATACATAGTGCCCGAAGTTTTCCGCGAAGCGGATTTTCCGCGTAAATCGCGGAACGGGAAGAGAAAGCGGAAAACTCAGTCTTGAAAAAAGATGTAAAAATTAACGGACTAGGAGCCTAGGACACACTGTGCGATTTTCTACGCTGGCCGCTTGCGATCGATAAATACGGTGCGCGCGTCTCACGGCAGCGTATTTCGCTCGTGATCCCATACGCCCGGCTGATCGCTCGCATTCAACGCGTTCAACCGGTTTTTCATCGCTTGCATACAAATACACCAGCGCGCCCAACAATGAACAATCGCGTTCGAACGCAATTGTTTTTAGCAGCCAATCAAGTGTAGCAGTAGTAGCAACGAAAGCTAGGAAACCTGTTGGACACCGGACAGTGTGTGCAGCTGTACGCGCAACTCGTACGGCGTTCTAAATCTATTAGTATTAGCTAGCGTATTCAAAACTATTCATGCATTCATCGCACCGCACGTTTAATACCGCATGCGTATGTTGTTATTTGTTCTGGCTAAGTCTATGATTTGGAGTTTGCTCGAGTCAAATTTCGTTCTGCATGCTTACATTGTTAAATTGAATTGATCGAATCATCACAATGCCGCCCGAACCAAAACGTAGCTCAGCAAGTTAAGACATGAATTAAAAAAAAAAATCAAGGCTTTTCTAAGCTTTTGACAGTTTTGTTTTGGTGAAATTTAGAATGGCGAAATTTAGAAAGCAGAAGAAAGCAGAATTTCAGATTTTTAAAGCAGAAGAAAGCAGAATTTGACATTTTATATAGCAGAAAACTTGAGGCTTTATAGCTATACAGCAGATACAGAAAAATCATGCAAGCTCAGCAGCTCAGCTGTAATGTAGGCTAAATAACTTTTAGAATTTTGCAAATAAAACCATCACATTACACATTTTAATAGCATATTTCATTAATTTGAGTCTTTTCATGTATAATAGTTGTTTCATTTAACTTTTTAACTAAGTTGTACCTTTAATTTTACATCTCAACGCTTTACAACGTTGTCGTTGTACTTTCGTTGTAATTTTGAACTAAACTCGCCTCCATTTTCTTCCACAAGTAATTCCGAAACGGAGCCGCATAGAAACTCTGTCAGGTCCCATGAAATCCCGAAATGGGTCGATGTGTGGTTGAAACACGATAACAGTTAATTTCAGGCATAGTATAATGTACGGGCATTGAATTTAGTTAAAATATTCTGAATAATTAATATGTATCTTCTGAAGAAGGTAAACTAATTAAATTTATCTTCTTCATGCAACCATTCCTTTCGATCCTCCGCCTCCTCATCAACGCGTGAGATCCTCTACGCGTGAAAGTCATAAGTTTCTAGCTTATTCTAGACTTTTCTTAACCTTCTTCTATATGCATATGCTTTTTCGTACTCTCTCTTCTTTTCCACAGACAACGTGCAAACTAACGTGGTATATATATCATTATTTTACTTTCATAATTATAATGAATTAATCATATAATTAATCACTTTATTTACACTTATGTAAATTTCATTTTGAAAGGTATTATAATTATAAGTTAAGCAGATATTGATTGACAAAGCTGATAAAATAGATATAAAGAGATGGAGGCCGGGCGAATTAATGACAATTCAGTCTTTCACTCGGCCACCCAATCTTCCCGAAATTCACTAGCAAGCAATAATTGCTCGCTAAGAGTGAAGAGGAAGAGTGGGGCAGATATAGACATAGTTCAGCAGTGCCAGTGACTGTGTGTTGATTCTAGGCTGAAAATTATAATGCAAGCCATGAACTCGATCTTACGGAGCCCGGGAATAGACGATAGACGACATATTATCTCATTAAAACGACATATTATCTCATTAAAACGACAAATTATCTCATTAAAACGACATATTATCTCATTAAAACGACATATTATCTCATTAAAACGACATATTATCTCATTAAAACGAGATAATTATCTCATTTAAAACGACCATATTAATCTCATAAAACGATATATTTATCTCATTAAAGACGACATAATTAATCTGCATTAAAACGATCCATATTATCTCATTAAAAGGAATAATATCTCATTTAAACAGACATAAGTATCTCATTTATTAAAACAACATAATATTTCAAAGCACCTGTGACTGCATGTGGGAGAAAGCGATGGAGATCGAATATAAGAAAGGTCGTGGAAGAGGAGTATAGAGGAGGCATGAGGAGGAGGGGGAGGAGGAAGAGGAAGGGAGGTAAAGGGGAAGGAGGGGAGGGAGGAGGAGGAGGAGGAGAAGGTGATGGAGATCGAAATGAAGAAGGTCATGGAGGAAGAGTAGGGGACAAGGAGAGGAGGAGGAGGAGGAGGAGGAGGAGGGGAGAAGGTGATGGAGCTTGAATAAAGAAGGTAATGGAGGAGGAGTTGGGGCAGGAGGAGGAGGAGGAGAGAAAGTGTTGGAGTAGGGGAGGAGGAGGATGAGGGGAGGCGGAGGGGAAGGAGGAAGGAGAGAAGGTGTTGGAGTAGGGGGAGGAGGAGGAGTAGGATGAGGAGGGGGGGAAGGTGATGGAGATCGAATAAAGAGGGTCGTGGAAGAGGAGTAGGAGGCAGGATGACGAGGAGGAGGGAGGGGAGGTAAAGGGAAGGAGGGGAGAGGAGGAGGAGGAGGAGGAGGAGGAAGAGGAGGAGGAAGAGGAGGAGGAGAAGGTGATGGAGATCGAATGAGAAGGTCATGGAGGAAGAGTAGGGGGGCAGGAGAGGAGGAGGAGGAGGGAGAAATGGAGGAGGAGGAGGAGGAGGGGAGAAGGTGATGAGTATCGAATAAAGAAGGTAATGGAAAAGGAGTTGGGGCAGGAGGAGGAGGAGGAGGAGGAAGAGGAGGGGCAAATGTGTTGGAGTAGGGGGAAGAGGAGGAGGAGGAGAGAGAGGAGGAGGAGGAGGAGGAGGAGGAGGAGGAGGAGAAGGTGATGGAGATCGAATGAAGAAGGTCGTGGAGGAAGAGTAGGGGGCCGGAGAAGGAGGAGGAGGAGGTGTTGGAGTAGGGGTAAGAGGAGGGGAGGAGGAGGGGAGAAAGTGTTGGACTAAGGGGAGGAGGAGGAGGTGGAGGAGGAGTAAGATGAAGAGGGGAGAAGGTGATGGAGGAGGAGTATGGGGCAGGAGGAGGAGGAGGAGGAGGGGAGACGGTGTTGGAGTAGGGGGAAGAGGAGGCGGAGGAGGAAGAGGGGAGACGGTGTTGGAGTAGGGGGAAGAGGAGGAGAAGGGGCAGGAGAAGGGGGGAGTAGGAGGCAGGATGAGGAGGAGTAGGAGGCAGGAGGAGGAGTAGGGCAGGAGGAGGAGTAGGGGGCAAGAGGTGGAGGAAGGGAGACAGTGATAGATGAGCAAGAGGTGAGAATGTGATGGAGATCAAAGGGAGAAGGTGATGTGGGAGTAGGAGGAGGATGAGGAGGGGGAGGAGGATGAGTAGGAGGAGGAAGGGGAGGAGGAGGAGTAGGAGGGGGATAGTTAAATCATTCACATTATCAGGAGTAGATAACACCATATGTGTTTATTCTCTGTTTATTCTTGATTTGTGATGCTATAGCCATTAATACTGGTTAAAATTTGCTGTATTGTACAACCAAGCTTTGCTGTCTGACCAAGTTAAGTTACCATTGAATCAATGCACTGCATTAGCTACGGTGCATACGGCAAGTTTCAGCCAGAGAGACGGGATACCAGAGAAGTGTTGCCGAACTAAACCAATTATTTTACCAAAGTAACAATTTATTTGCAAGAAAAGACATTTAAGTTGAAATTTATAAAAAACGTTTGCAAATCAATTTACAGGATTATAAATTAATCTACGACATTTCAAATTCATTCAATCTGCAGTCAGTAGCAGCTCGACCGTTTTAGCATTGTGCCAATGGCTAGAAATCGGTGGTGGCGGTATATTTTTTAACCGTCCCGTTTCATTTTTCAACTATCCTCCACGACCTTCTAGATTCGCATCGTCCAGTTAGCCTTGCTCCGCCTCCTCGCTCCTGGTTCCTCGCCCTCTCCCCTCCGCCGTTTCCTCCTCCCCTACTCCAAAACTCTTTCTCCCCTTCCTCCTCCTCCCCTAGCTCCAACCACCTTCTCCCCTCCTCTCCTACCCCTACCCTCCAACACCTCTTCCCCGCCCGGCCTCCATCCGACGGTTTCCTCCCTCCTCCTCCCTCTCCCTCCTCCTGCCATCATGCCCCCCTACTCCTTCTTCGCAGGCGAGCTCTTTTGTCATGTGCGATCCTCCTCCACACCGTTCTCGCCCTGCCACTCCGTCGGTGTTCCTATCCCTTCTCCTCGCGTTGTTCTCCTCCCCTCCCTCTATCGTCCGAACACCTTCTTCCCTCCTCCTCCTCCCCCCTCTAGTTGCAACACGCTGTCTCCCTCCATCCTCCGCTGTTCCTCCGTACGCCTACCTCCAACCCTTCTCCGCCCTCTTTCCTCGCATGCTCCTTCTTCTCTCGCTTCCTGCGCTCCTTCCTTCCTCCCTCCTCCTCCTCCTCCTCCTCCCGCCGACGTCCAACACCTTGTATACCCTCCTTCCTCGCCCACTGTCGGCCCGTAGTCCAACAGCCTAGCTCCCCTCCGTGCCTACCCCGTCCTGCCTACCCCATGTACTCCAAACACCTTCTCCCCTCCCCCTCGCTCCTCCTCCTCTCTTCTCCTCATGCCCCCTACTCCTCCTCCATGACCTTCTTCATTCGATCTTCATCACCTTCCCCCCACCTTCCTCCTCCTCCTCCTCCTCCTCTCCTCCCGTTACTCCAACACCATCTTCCGCTCCTCCTCCCCCTCGCGCCTCCCGTCCTTCTCTCCTCCCCCTACTCCAACACCTTCTCCCCTCCTCTTTCTCTCCTCCTCCTCCTTCCTCCTCCTGCCCTAACTCCTCCCGTCATGACCTTCTTTATTCCGAGCTTCCATCACTTTCTCCGCCTCCTCTCTTCCTCCTCCTCCTCCTCCTCCTCCTCCTGCCCCCTACTCTTCCTCCACGACCTTCTTCATTCGATGTCCATCACCTTCCCCCTCCTCCTCTTCCTCCTCCTCCTCCTGCCCTCTACTCCTCCTCCATCACTTTCTCCGCTCCTCCTCTTCCTCTTCCTCCTCCTCCTCCTCCTCCTCCTCCTCCACCACCTACTCCAACACCTTCTCCCCTTCTCCTCCTCCTCTCCTCCTCCTCATCCTCCTCCTCCCTCCTCCTCCTCCTCCTCTCCCCCTACTCCAACACGTCTCCACTCTCCTTCTCCTCTCCCACTAGTCCAACACCTTCTCCTCCCTCCTCCTACCCCTACTCCAACACTTCTCCCCTCCTCCTCATCCTCCTCCTCCTCATCCTCCAGCCCCCTACTCTCCTCCATGACCTTCTTCATTCGATCTCTATCACCTTCTCCCCCCCTCCTCCTCCCCCTACTCTAACACCTTCTCCCCCTCCGCCTCCCCTCCTCCTCCTGCCCCCTACTCCTCCTTCATCACCTTCTCCCCTCCTCTTCCTCCTCCTCCCTCTCTTGCCCCAACTCCTCCTCTATGACCTTCTTTATTCGAGCTTCATCACCTTTCCCCCCTCCTTCTCCTCCTCCTCCTCCTCCTCCTGCCCCCTACTCTTCCTCATGACCTTTTTCATTTCGCTCTCCATCACCTTCTCCTCCCCTCCTCCTTCCCCCTTTCCCCTTTGCCTCCCCTCCTCCTCCTCCTCCTGCTCCTACTCCTCCTCACGACCTTCTTTTATTCGATCTCCATCACCTTCTCCCCACATGCAGTCACAGGGGGTTTGAGATTTTATGTGCGTTTTAATGAGAGATAATATGCTCGTTGTTAATGAGTAGTCTTAAGTGAGTATGTCGCTTGTTAATGAGATAATATGTCGTTGTTTATACGAGATATTATCGTCGTTTTAATGGATATATATGTCGTTTTATGAGATATGTATGTTCGATTTTAATGAGGATAGTATGTCGTTTGTGAATTGAGAGTGAATATGGTTCGTTTGGTAATGAGGATAATATATATGTCGTTTTAATGAGATAATATGTCGTTTTAATGAGATAATATGTCGTTTTAATGAGATAATATGTCGTTTTAATGAGATAATTATCTCGTTTTAATGAGATAAAAATATTTTTCACATGTCCCTTCCCGGGCTCCGTACATTTGGCATGCTTTAAATTTACGAGAATTTTCGTGTTGGATGCAAGCTAAAACTAAGCGCAATTTCTATTATAATAATTATATTTTATATAATAGTAATACCTGTGTTAAAAATGAGCAGATTTCCCGCGTTGGACTCGCAATAATCATCAATGTGTGTGGAAATAAGCCATAATTAATTTGCTTGCCCATTTTTAGATTTAGGAAAATTCCACTTTTAAACGCGTGTTTAGAACATGTTAAACCTGAATATGATTTTTTTTATGTTTAAAGCGAGATCAATTAAGATTTCGTTAAACCCTGTGTTTCATGGGTCGGCGTTTTCACCTAGAACATAATTGTATTATTCGTCTAGCTATCTCTGATAGCCATGCCGTACTATATGCTATGCTATGCTATGCTATGCTATGCTATGCTATGCTATGCTATGCTATGCTATGCTATGCTAAGCTATGCTATGCTATGCTATGTTATATGCTTGTTCTATACAATCATTTTGCACACAGCGTGTACGCGGCGCGCGCGCGCCGCACGCACGTACACTCTCACACACCACCACACGTGCACAGTGCTGCGTAGAAACTGTTGCATTGCAGTTTTTCAGTACATTTGAAGCATTACTTACAGTAGAAGAATATTTGTTTTAAAATGTGTTTTACATATAGATCAGAAAAATAGACTGAAGAAATAATGTTGTTCTATAAATTATCACATTTACTTCAACCATTTGTTCACATTCACATTTTTGTAGTGTTTTGCGATACAAGTGAGCAGTTTCCCACTTGTAACACGCACCCACCGGTTACCGCCCTATAATATATGATGGGAAATCTGGCGCTATAACTTTGCTTTGTGAATGCAGCAGACATAGGTATGCTACCCGGTTAGCCTTACATACCCGAGCATGACACACCTGAGCAACTTTCTGTCGTGGGAACTCACCCGAAAAATATGATAACCGGCATTATATACTGACAAGCTATAACACACATCTTATTGTGCGGACTTTCTATATAGGTCTCCTATATATAGGCCGGTATTTTCTATCGCGCAAAAGCACACGATTTTGCTTTTTGCCGTGTTTACGTTTATTGCTAGTTTGTTTGGCCTGCGCACTTAGCCCCTTATCCTTGTCAGATCTCCGTTCTTTAGCTGCAGGGAAGTAGTTTAAAGTGGTTACCGCCACTATAAATAGTACTAGTCCGAAAGGACGGAAAGAAATGAAGATTTTCGTAATTTAAAGTGATTATCTCACTATAATATAACTATAAAGCTAGCCATTTCGTTTCAAAAACGACATGAACTACGAAAACACATGCAGTTATAGCCTATAGGTTTGTTCATGCATTATGGCTAGCCCTATATTGCTGCATTACTCTACCCATCTTGCCCTTCTGCGCAATGAACCCAAACACTCGCGATTCACACACATTTTACATATGCGCGCGTTACATGTCAAAACCGCACAGTATTTGTGCACGTTTTACTAGTCCAAATGCGGCTTCAAATCGTACTAGATGAAGGTTTGTGTATACATTATATGCCATTAGTCATTTCGTTTTATGTAAAAAAAACAACTATAACAATTTGACACAATATAAACGTCATAAAATTCGTGACGTAGTCATATATAAAAAACAAGACCAATACATGCCACGCGCCGTAATTACAATACATGAAATAATGCGTCAAAAATTTAAAATGTGAAATGTCTACTTATGATTAATAATATACTAACTATAAGAAAGGGTTATCACTATCACCATCATTATCACTATCACCATCATTATCATCATCTTGATCTTCCTCATAATAATAATCATCATCATAATCAGCATCATGCATGGTCATAATCATCATCTTGATCTTCCTCATAATCATCATCATCATCGTCGTCGTCGTCGTCATCGTCATCACCGTCGTTGTCGTCGTGGTCATACATCAACAGCAGCCGCCAGCGACATCTAGAGGTCCACGCCTGCCGTGATGTTCACCACCTCACCCTGCCTAACGTAGACTCGCGGAACGCGCCTCGACCAGGCGCTCGTCACTTCGGCAGGACTGTCACCCAGGGTACATGCCATCCAAGCCGGCGACGTGTGATCCGCATAGTCGGCGGTGAGCAGCGTGAACGTATCCCCGGAGCGTGGTTGTTTACGTAACGCCGCGTTACACTCGTCCGCAGTCACGCGCCCCACGAGAGCATGTAGTTGTCCTACAACGACCGGTTAAAAATGGCATACATTGTACTATGGCAAACCCTTGTAATGGTATTTATATATAGGTACACATGATCTTCACAGTCATTATTAGAGAACATTGTACTATACGGCGCTCCTGCATAATAGATGGTACCTTGTACCAGCGCGCATGCGCGATCGGAACCGGAACCAGAGAGGATTGTAAGCACGCCCGCGTTTCAATCTGTGCAATATACTTGTTTAGTTATTGTCATTTCACGCCGATTCTCTCTAATAAAGTAATCGAACAAATGGAACTCTGTTCTTATTTAATCATAATAAAATAATATCATATTATAGTATAATAATATAATATATAGCACATTATAATATCGTATTACAATGATCATTTCCTTCATATAATGAAGTCACGGTTGTAGCGGCTTATTTGAAAGTAACTTGTGATGATACAACGAAAGACTGCAGTGTGCCCACTTGGTAACGATTGTAGTGGCTAACTTGCAAGTGTTGAAAATGAAGTCTAGAAAACAATACAATTATAGATAATAGATACTACAGTGATACATAACATCCCAAGCACCATTACCATACTCCATCCGAACGTGAGTATGGAGAGGCATGTTAATTGTAATGTTATAGTTAGTGCGACGGTAACGCCGTGATTCTGTGAGAGAGAAAGGGAGAGGGAAAGAGAGAGAGAGAGAGAGAGAGAGAGAGAGAAAGAAAAAGAAAGAAAGAAAGAGGCCATGCGAGATAGGTAGATAGATAGATAGATAGATAGATAGATAGATAGATAGATAAATAGATAGAGATGGGGAGGAGGAAGAAAGAGAGAGAGAGGAGGAGAGAGAGAGAGGAGAGAGATGAGAGAAGAGAGAGAGAGAGAGATAGAGAGTAGAGTAAGAAATCCACTTCTAATATTTCAGTGTGACTTTTTTCTGGCTTGTAAAGACTCACGCATGCGCACAAATACCGAGTATTCAAACTCACCGGTTTTGTTGTTTCTCAAGGAACCGATTCCATGGCTTAGCTTCTCGCTGTAGCCATCGGCCCAGCCACATGCAAAGCTAGCTAACCATTTGGGTCCTGCAATAATGTACATATCATCATCAATCAAAAGTATAGAGACAAGTGAAAAGGGCATGAAGTTAACTCCCTCCATCAACCAGGTGCCTTAGTTTAGCTTTGCTAAAATATTGCATAGCTCTGGTTAGCAGCTGTTAAACGAAGTAACGTAATAAGCATGTATGTATGTGTAAATATCATCTATTAACGTCTACTATATACAGATATATATATATATATATAATTAAAATAGGTGATACATAGGCTTACGAATTCCTTCTCCAAAATGGCACATTATAACTCAAAGATCGAGGGCCGTAGCCTGAGCAAATTCTTTTTTTTTCTTTTTTTTTGAGGGGGGGGGCAATATTTCGTGACTCTGCTGAGTAATGGTGAGGAAAGGGCGTAGCTCCCCCTCATGCATAGTGTGGCGGGGTTGGTGTGAAACGTGATACAGACTTAACAGATGACTACATAATGATTGACACTCATATGTATCAGGTTGTTTTCGCATTATTACATCTTTCCTCAATATGTAGAGGAGAAAGCTTCCTCTTACGTTAAGAGGCTCCGGCCTTGGCATCGCATTAGAAAGTAACCGGTAAAAAATTATATTGTCAATAAGTATATTGAAAGTATATCATTCCAATTAACCCAATTATTGAAATAATCGATTTTTGCTATATTGGGAATTATTCGCACGCGTATCAATGACGACTCAGCAGTCGGTGACTGTTCGCTTACCCAAGCGGCCGTTCGTTGGTGGCACGCGTTCGTAAAAGGTTGGCCGAGCGAAGACAGACATGGCTGGCAGGAAGTCAAAGTCCTTGAAGACCTTCAAGCCAGGAAAGTCATTCTCTGCGGTGACGAAACCGTAGCTATAATATTTCGTGGTCGCGGTCGCGGTCGTGGTCGCGGTCATGGTCATGGTCATCTATCACAGTTGCAGTCACAGTCATAGTCACAGTCACATTTACAATCGCAGTCACAGTCACAGTGAGTCATAGTCACAGTTGCTATTACGTCGCCGCAGGTCTGCGGGCGTGGTTAGAACGAGAGCGATATACTTACCAGTGCTGATTCCGTACAAGATGCGACCGGGCCGCACGTAGTCCAGCTCTGTGCCCACCATCTGACAACAGCCAACAGAGGCGGCCGCATGGCGCGAGATGTTCTTATTCCTAAATAATGGATGCAGATTTACCTTCGATTCCGACGTTTATGAAATACTCGGCTGTGCGCGACTGACATAGCAACCCGCACGGAGAGATAACGGCTCGGGGGGGGGGGGCAATTAAAATATCGGTACGTTATTTCCACGTTTTAGTCCAGCGGATAAGCACATGGATTGTGCATTTTTGGTTAGAATTGTGAAACTTCGCACACGCGTACTACATGAGGTCCTGAAGAATTTCTGATATAGTGCAAATGAACAGCACCATCTGGTGGCGTACAGCGCTCCCTGGCGTGTTAACGGGTATTGCGTTATAACACTCTTAGGGTTTTGGCTATAATTTCAAGAATACTCATCCAATTTATTCAAGAAATAGCTGAAATGATTCGTAGATATCTATACTAATATTCTCGAAGCAATTTATTAAGTGTAGCTATCTTTAAGTTGTAATAAAATAAGGTTGAACAATAAAATGGTTAATTTCTAATAATTTTTTATTATGGACTCTTGATATTATACTGTTGACAGTGTAGGCCGGAATAGGCAGAATCCTCCCGATATCTCTATCAAGCGTGCTTGGTGGAAGTGTGTGCTCACACGTAAGGGTCGGTACAGTTTAGAAAGTGGTCAAGTTGATCCAGATTGCCTGAACGGTCCGTTAAACCTCCAGCAAAGTGCGTAAAGATGCTTTCTATACCAACGTCCAAGGCATCCAGCTCCTGTAAGACAAGCGTAGACACTCGAGCTGGCAATTTATTTATTTACGAAAAGGTCAGCTATACTAGAAAGATAGGACGTACGCCTTCTAATAATGCGTATAGTATCACGAGTACGAAATGATCGATGTATGATTTTGTTAGAAACGATCGAAGCACTTCATCTAGTGCATGTATATAACATTGTAATATGTATTATAACATATAGATAAGTATTATATTATATAACATTGTATAATGTCTGCACCTGAATGAGTCCATCCAGCTGGCAAGTCTCCACGCCGTACATCGACAATCCCGAGTCGACATTCACATTGACCTTGAGCTGCGCACCCGTCTAGAAAAACACATTACTCGACACCGTCACAACTTTCTCTTACAGCACAAGCAAAACTTCCCCTACAGCGACTCCAACCAGCTTTACACAGGAAATCGCGTGAGAGTGATTTTTGCGTGTCTTCTTCCGCCGTATAAATGTTTCTCGGTGGGGGGTTGCAAATTATATTCAGAGCTAGATGATCAACGTGTACTTATCCGGAGCATGGCATACCTTGGTGAGAAGTTTGTTTGCGGGTACAGTCTTGAGCGCATTGCTCCAGCATATTGTCGGTATGAGATCATTTTCGACCACGTGATTAATTTCCTCTGGTTGGCAGTTTCCTATAGATAAGTACTGTTCATAATCACCCACTGGTATTTTAACCCATGAGAGGTTCATGCATTTGTTATTCTATTGATCGGGAGGAGTGAAGGAGGCGACGACACCAGCTAGGCCGCGGAATACAAAAGGGCTGTCTTTCACCTAGGCTTTACTTCGCTAACTTCGATTACAAGTGACTACTTTTGTTATTCAGTCACGAACCCATTCGTACGTGTCACTAGTACGCACCTAAAACGTGGATCTTCCCCTGAACGCCACCGTTTCGTAGCACCCTACCCTCGTTCGTGGTTGCGACGGCAAACGTCTCAACGCCAAGCGACGCCAGGTGGCGCGCGACGCGAACTGCCCCGTGTCCATACGCGTGTCCCCTCACCACTCCAATAATTTCTGCAGAAATAGAAATCGTAAAAAGCGTAAAAGAGTAAAAGCGATAGCGAGAACAAGAGAGAAAAAGTGAGAGCACGAGAGAGCTCGCTCGCGAGAGAATTGAGCGCGAGGAAGATTTACATCAGTCTCCAGTACCTCAAAAAAGTCAACAACCTGAGAATAGTCTTAGTCTGAACGTGATGCATCTTTCTCTTTGCTCTCGTTCGTCTCTCTCTGCCATCACTCTCTTGCTCATCTCTTCCTATCCTCCTCATCTCCCTCTCTCCTCTCCTCTCTCCTCTCTGTGTGTGTGTGTGTGTGTGTGTGTGTGTGTGTGTGTGCCTGTGTATTGTGTGCGCCTTTTTTTTTCTTCGCGTGCGCGCAGCGGTTGCCTGCCCGTGCGGTATGCCGTCTGTGTGTGTATGTGTGTTTTATGTGTTCGTGATGTGTGAACACGAGCTTCTCTTTTGCCGCAGAACTTCACTAAACTCACATTTTCCAGCTGCTCTCTTGCTCTATGCAAACTATCATGACTACCCGGGCTGTATAGTTGTGACCATAGTAGAGCTAGAGTGACGCCTATAATGTACAGTGGCAAACCTTCCATTGTCAGTTTTCGCATCTCCGCATCTTGTTTTTTTTTGGGAGCCAGTCGGGGTTACTTTTCTTCCTGTATTTTGCTGTTCCAAGTGTCTGTCCCCATATTCCATTCCGCACTTGACTTTTTCGTTACCGTTAATATTTCCCTTATGATTCTTTCTGTTTAAGCGAAATTGTCATCTCTTTACCAGTCTTACCCATAAGTGATTTTCGTTATGCTGTATAATTTAAGCTTCCTTACCCAGAAAGTAATTTCGGTTTACTCGAATCTTCCATCAGTGCTGAGGTTACAGGCCTCTTCCTACCATAGTAATTTTCGTATAGCTGAAATGACTTTCAACTACTTGCGAGGCATTTTCGTTTACGAAATCAGCCTACTGGGCGTTCATTTCGTATCGAAATCATGCTACACTTGTGGCAGCGCACGGTGCGGGGCCAAATGTCCGCATGGACTTTATTTCGTTACAGAATCATGTGATTTCGTAAGCGAACATGGAAGTCTACAAAAGTGAATGATTCGTTACGAAATCAAGTAGCTGTGAGTTGAAGTCTTGAGCGAGAGTACTTTTGCTAGAGCTTGATTTTCGTAACGAAATCAGTCATGTCGGCCATTGGCGCCCCACACCGCCAAGTGATAGCATGATTTCGTAAACGAAATAATTCGATGCAGGTAGCTGATTCTCGTAACGAATCAGTCATGCGAGCATTTGCACGCCGGCGCGCCAAGTGAGGCCATGATTTCGTACGAAATAATCTCGGCAGTAAGCTGATTTCGTCACGAAATGACTCGCAGTAGCTGATTTCGTCACGAAATCCACTTCACAGTAGTTTGATTCGTAACGAAATCACTTTGTAGACTTGATTTCTACGAAATCAATGATTCTGCTAACAAAATAAAGTTCATGCGACATTTGGCGCGCCGGCGCGCCAAGTGTAGCATGATTTTCGTAACGAAATGACCCGCAGTAGCTGATTTCGTAACGAAATGACTCGCAGTAGTTGATTTCGTAACGGAAATTACTTTGTAGACTTGATTTCGTAACGACGAAATTACTTTGTAGACTTGATTTTCGTAACGAAATCACTTTGTAGACTTGATTCGTTACGAAATCAATGATTTCGTAAGCGAAATTATCATGCGACACTTGGCGCCCTCATAGGGGGGGGGCATCTTCAGAGTGTCTGCATGGCAGTAAGAGTAAATACACACATGTGTTATTATCTACTCTTGATGGCAGGCATAGCCATTCGGGGGCGTCTGGCGATACACACACCACTGGAATTATTCTGGCAGTGGCCATTCACGATACCTGAGGCTATGCCGGACATTTTTCTAATGGGTGCCAGAAGGTTTCCTTTCCAGCTAATTAGCTCAATTTTGGGGTATCGGTTTTTTTAGCTCTGGCGCATGCGCCCCACCACTAAAAATTCTGGCAGTGTCCATTCCTCGTAACCTTGGGCCGCCATGCCGAACATTTTCCAATAGGTTTCCATGGGGTTTGCCTCTCCAGCTAATCTAGCTCAATTTTCGGGGGTGGGGGGCAGTTGAGGGCGTCTGGCGGCATACACGCCACCACTGAATAATTCTGGCAAGTGGCCATTCACGATACCTGGGACTATGCTGAACATTTTCCAATGAGTGCGAGAAGGTAATTTCCTTTTCCAGCTAATCTAGCTCAATTTTGGGGTATGGTTTTTTAGCTCTGACGGCATGCGCCCCACCACTAAAAAATTCTGTGGCAGTGTCCATTCCTGATACCTGGACCATGCCAAACATTTCCAATAGGGTTCATGGGTTTTCCTCTCCAGCTAATCTAGCTCAATTTTGGGATGCCTTTCAATGACCCCACTGACGCACACCCCACGCAGCGGCTGCCCGCCAGACGTACATTTCCTTCCTGGGTATGTACACGAATCATGCTATATGCATGAAAATTGGTTTCCTTTCCAGCTAGGCTGACCCCCCTGGGCTCCCGGTCTATCACGTCAGTTCAAGAAAAGGGGCAGGTTATGGCCGATGGACGTTAGCATCTGACTGCCATTTTATTTGAGCAAATGCGTTTCTAGAATTTACGTGATCGGACCGATTGACTAAACGCCACACCAACTACGTGTGCGCTCATATTTAGTAAAACACGTAGATTGACCGACTTCGCGGATACTAGCATGGATGCCAGCGTCGACATATTCGCACGGACTAAACGGAGCACGTATATTCGTATTGACTTGGATGCTATCACCCACAATGTCAGCAAATTGATGGAATCGTTGGAAGTTACGTGTTCACGTAAGTACGCGTTGTTCCTTTCGCGATCTTTTAAAATTTCTCATTTGTTTCATTTTTCATATACAGCAACACGCGTATCATCTCATGGTAACATATAGTGTGTTTACCTCGGAAGTAAATGTTTTTGTGTCGTAATAACGATTAACCCGTCGTAATCTCGTTCATATTCGTGGGTGTCCTGGTCGTCTACGTGTACCCCTTTTCTGCTCGTTCCCGTTCTCTCTCTCATGTCCCTCGCTTCTATCTCGCCCTATTATAATATATATATATATATATTCTCTTTC